TAATTAAAAAATGGTTACAAATTGCCTTTTTCCTCTGATTGTTTTAACCTAGTTTTCTAGTATTTACAAAATACTGCTGCAGACGCTTCTTTTCGTCTCGTCCTCATGCTGCGAGTCCTTGGGCTCTCCACTGGCCCGCTTGCCGAGAGAAATGCCGTCCCTGGCAGTCTTCCTCATCCTCGATTTGCTCGTAGAACTCCATGTTGGTGGGGAAAAGCTCGTAAGCCACGCTGAAACAAAACGCACCGTGCATAATTAGTCTTCCCCGACCTGTGATTAGAACCGTGACTCTAATAACCGTCTTCCCGCACGCGTGATTCAGTCTCAAAGTCTAGGCGGTCCTAAGAAACCAAACTCTAACCTGCTCAGCACTGATTTGTTGGGTGTATTGCCGCAAGAGTGGAGTCCCGAGTCCCCCCGCGTCCCCACCCATCGCGCGCAGCGTCCCCTCCCTCCCACACCACGCCCCCCGCAGCGCCAGGACCTAACGTAAGGCGAAACGCAATCCACAGGGTACGTCACGAACGGCAAGCGGGCTGATAAAGAATTCATGCCGAAGCCAAACTTCTTGGACAGCGCGGGTGCCGAGGGACGCAACTAACTTTGGCCGAAATACAGCTGTGCGGTGCTGGTGGCGCGCCCTGGCGGCCCTGGCGGCGCGGCCTACGCGGCGGAAACGTGTCAGGAGGATGGCTCCTCCTGCTCCGCCGCGCCGCGCTCTCCGCCCTCGGATACAGCACCCGGGAGTCTTTTTCCCCCGGCCAACACTGCCAAAAGTAAGTTGTCGCACTCGCTGGCTGCTGCTGGCTCCCTCGCAAAAAGTTTTAATGTCGTCGGTCGGTGGCTGGCGCTGCTGGCGCTGCTGGCGCCGGGTCGCCCTCCCTGGGTCGGGTGCACTGCTACTCACAAGTGGCCGGGCATGGGCAGGCGCTTGCCCTTGTCCACCTCGAGCAGCAGCTGGTCGTGCCGCTCCTGGAGCCGGTCCCAGTCGGCCGCGGCGCCCTGCTCGCAGATGTAGGCCCGGATGCGGCGGTTGGGGATGAGCGACCAGTACAGGTCCTCGTAGGCGGGCGGCTGCAGCGCCGTCACGGACCCGGCCACGCGGACCTGGCGGCGGAGGGGAGAACGCGAGGGGGTGAGAGAGGGGTCGGTTGTCCGGCCGGCGCGGCAGGGCGGGGAGGAAGAGGTGTCCAAACTATCTTTTCTCCCCGCCGCCCCGCACGCCGCTCTCACCCACCTCCCTGGCGACCCTCTGACCCGCGCCGTCGACAAATGCCCAGAGGAATGCGATGCCGGCCCGGGGGTTCTCCGCCTGCAGGACAGAGCACGCAGTAAGTAACAGAGCGGTTCGATACTTTCTGCTCGTGGCACCTCGCCACCGACCTACTCACCAGTTCCCTGCACTTTTTGCTGCGACTGTCCGTGAGGAAGACGAATCTACCCTCGTCCATCCGACGGAAGCACACAGTGCGCGCGCTCGCCCTTCCCGACCTGAACAAACAAAAAAGAACCACCGCAAACTCTAAATGGATTTCCCCTCTTTTTTGCCTATTTGAACAGTGCCGAGCGTGAGTACTGCAACACAACTTCATATCCGGCCACCTTAAACCGGGCAACGGTAATGTTCGCATCCTTGTGCGAGTAGTTAGTCCGCATTCCAAACTAACCTGGTGCTCGTCGTGAGGACGGCGCTGTCGGGCATGACGAGCTGGGCCGCGCGGGCGTCGCGCCTCCACCGCTGGAAGATGCCGTCCGGGTCGGCCTCGGCGCCTTCCTGGACGCGCAGCTCGCTCAGACGCTCGCTCAGTGCCTCCATGCCGGCCAAGCTCCCTAGCCAAATAAAGGGCAACCGCAAGACGCCGACTAATTATTTACGTCTCGTTTGTTGTTTTGTTTCTGTCTTTCTCTTTTCTCGTCCACGTGACGAGGACGTCGCCGGAACGCTCTCAGGGGGAAGGGAAGAGGGGTGGCGCCGGTCAGGACCACCCTCCCTCCCTCTCGCGCGCACCCCCCGATAGACGGGGCTTCCCCTCAGCCGCTCCCCCTCCCTCCTTCCGGCCCCTCCCCTCGCCCGCCGTGTCTCCTCAGTCAGACCCGCAGCACATGTGAGAGTTCCTTAAGCAGCGCGTAGTCAATGTAAACTTGGCAATGGACTGCCGCCGCGCCGCTTCCGCGGGCGGCGCGCGCCTCGCGCCGGCAAACAAAGGGTGCGCCAGCCAGACGAACGGAAGTTATGGCAATTATAACAGCAAACTTCTCTAAATCCTCGGCTTGATCCGCGCCGCCGCCCCGGGCCCCGGGGAATGGAATTCCCTCGCCCGGGGAAATAATGGCGGTGCCGTATCTGTCGGGCCCCGGCTGGCGCGGAGGCAAAGCACGCAGCAGCACCCACCAGGTACGCTGGAGGTACCCTGGAGGTACCCTGGAGGTACCCTGGAGGTGCCCTAGGGTGCGGCTTATTTTGACGATTTTGGATTTCAAACTTGCATCACGGCTTTTTCTTTTCCTTTTTATATTTGAAGCACAGGAAAAAAATCCCATGGCCCTGGGATAAGGCTAACCCGTGCCGCATCTTACGTCTAGATTTACATGTAATTCTTATGGGAAAAAAGCATTAGAATCGAAATTTACATCATGCAGGCCTCCACTGCATATTTTTTGACAAACTCGTGCAGAAACGCTATCCTCTAGCGATAACAAACCCGGCGATGTGTCACACATGATCTTTCACTGTACAGTTAATGCGGTCTGTGGCACAAATTTAGGCAAATTTTCATCATTTTAATGAAAATTGCGAATGTAAACCTCATGAACTCTGCTGTTAGTAATCATGT